GCTTTTGTTTGAGTGATCTAAACTTTTATTTTCTTTTTTTCTTATATACTGACTGCAAATATATGTGCTCCCTTGAAATAGTCTAATAAAAGTGTCATTGGGCAGGCGGCTACACTGGAGACATCTACTCCAATTCCAATTTGAAGAATAAGAATGATCTTTTCGAATATAAGTTTGCAACTGGACAGTGGACAGAGTGGAAGACTGAGGGCAGGTAAGGAGCCGGTATCATTGCCCAGCTGTTCAAAGGAACCTGGATTTTAACCATCAAAGGTTACGGTGACGTGGAGGCACAGGTAGTTACATTAATTAATGTAAAAGCTGTAGGATTGTGGGATGCTCTGCCGTCTTGATGCCGCTTTGGTGTGTAACGGTAAGTTGTTTTTCTCTGAAAGCTCTCACTTGTGATGGATGAATGCAGGAATAGGGCTGCAAAGCAGAAAGCCATCTGTTACATATTTTAAGCTTTGGAAGTGCTGATTTTGGCAGAAAGAGGGAAGGAACATTTATTACTGGTATTTGTAGGAAAGAGAGAAGAGAGAAGACACTCTCCATTGTTGTTCACCACTAAATAAATCTGTGGAATTTTAGAACATAGTTCATATTTTGTCCTTCTGATTGCTTTAGCAACTGGAGATGTTTCAGAGAATAAATGTTATTTATGAATTCAAGGAGCCTTTGTCTTGCTGTGGGTCTGCATACTGCAAAAATGTCAGAGAACATTATATGTCATGGACTTATAGCGTGACAGTTTTGTGCTGCACTTCTTGAGTCAGTAAAAACAACAAAACTTAGGGAGAGGAAATCATAGGATGGGTCTTTTATTATGGGCACCATATCTCATTAATTACTTTTAAACATGGGGAAATTGCCACTTTGCCATAATGATAGTGCTGTTCCCCTCTGCTATTTGGCCAAGTTCCTTAAAATATGTAGGAATATTTGAAGCTTGGTAAGGAATTCACTGTGTTGGAGTTTTTGTTTGTTTGTTCTTTTTTGTTTTTTTCCTTTTTCTTTTTTCCTGTATGAGATAATATTTTCTAATGAAGGAAGCAGAGCATAGAGTTCTGCAGCCCTGGATCAGGGCTTCAAAATCAGTTTTGCATTTTGAGGCTCTATGGCAGAAGCAATATCCTAGCTTGAATACAAAAGGCATTTCATGCAGGGAGCTTTTATTCTTATCAAACGTCTGTTTTGGGTATCGTGCAGATCCTTCTCATAGCAGCTTTGCAGGTCAGTTCAGGTATTTATCTATTTAACTTGTAAACCTCCTCAATTGCAGATTGCCAGTTGCAAGGTCCGCTCACGGCGCAACCGTGTACAGCGACAAGCTGTGGATCTTTGCTGGATACGACGGCAACGCACGGTGGGTAACGGCATCTCTCCCACCTTCCTCCTCTTTGTGACATCCAGTCACTTACATTTCATGTCTGTTGAGTATTTTCCTATCCCAAGTATTTTAAATACCTATCTATGGCTTAGTAAAGCCTAATCTATTGATGGGCATTATAGACATTTACAATCCACCAGCTCATGTTCAAATGAGTGTGCATTTCAAAAGTAAAAAGCTTGTTGGCTCAGAATGCCTGTGGATATATAAATTGCAACCTCTTTGCTTGCAAAGATGCTAAGCAATCTCTGAATGTGGCAGTCAGCCTTTTTTGGAAGACCAGGGGCCTTCTCATGTTGCTGCAGACTTACAGGGTAAAAATAGGGAAGCATCTGAAACTTAGAAGAAAAAACCATATGACTTCTGTGAAGTCATGTGATGGAACAGAAAACTATATGCCAGCTTTTTCTCAAAAATCTTGGTGGAGTGTTGCACTGATGTGCCAGGACTGTTGGCTTCTAGGGCAGATGAGATTTTGGATGAGAAAAGAGTGGAAATTAGTGGTGCTGAGAAGTATCTCAAATCCTTAAAGGGTGGGTGGAGTTGCTGTGTATAAATGTTAACGTTAACGCAAAGGCTTACGGGGGATGGTAGGTGATGGTATGAACTTCAGGTATAGAACAAAAATATTCCAGTAGGTTTCTCTGCTAGGAGAAATTGGTGATTCTTTCTGCGCAGAAAGCAGAGTGCTGATGAAATACAAGTTCTGTCCTTTTAACTCCCTAAGCTAAAAATAACCACTGCTGATCAGGTTGCACTGATGTGCCAGGACTGTTGGCTTCTAGGGCAGATGAGATTTTGGATGAGAAAAGAGTGGAAATTAGTGGTGCTGAGAAGTATCTCAAATCCTTAAAGGGTGGGTGGAGTTGCTGTGTGTAGATGTTAAAGCAAAGGCTTACGGGGGATCATAGGTGATGGTATAAACTTTAGGTATAGAACAAAAATATTCCAGTAGGTTTCTCTGCTAGGAGAAATTGGTGATTCTTTCTGCGCAGAAAGCAGAGTGCTGATGAAATACAAGTTCTGTCCTTTTAACTCCCTAAGCTAAAAATAACCACTGCTGATCAGTTGCAAATCCGATATTTTTGTTATAATAAAGGTTAAACGACATGTGGACAATTGGCCTACAGGACAGAGAGCTAACATGTTGGGAAGAGGTAAGAAGCTTCAAGGTGAAATAACACAGATTTTTTTTCTTTGTTTCGATATAAGTTTATTTTAAATTTTCTGTGTTAGATGTTATTTTTATCTTTTCAACATCACACACATGGAATGAAACAGCATTCCAATTTGATTTTTGTTTGCTTGGAAAATGAGGTGTGTATGAAAGGGTGATTTTTGTTTCTGAATCTGTGAGCGGGACCTAGTCTGCCAGTGGTGGATTTGTTTTTTATTCCCCTTACTCACTAGCTTTGCTCACTTGGTATTGAGATCAGGATCCTGATACTTCCAGTGCCAGGAGCTTTTAAAGTATGGCCTTCTATCCTTTCTTTTCCCTTGCTAAAATAGTTTGTGCAGGTGAGTAGGCACAGCAGTAGTTAATTGACTTTAGCCAAATTTATGGGGTCTTGGTTGTCTGGAAACGTTGCTACTCTGTGGTCTGTGTTTATCAGGTGGTGTATTGCATGGTCTGCAGCTTACTTCAGCATTTGCACTGCAAAAATGCTTTATTCCTTGAACGTTTGTTATCTTTCAGATTGAACAAAGTGGTGAAATCCCTCCTTCGTGCTGTAATTTCCCCGTGGCTGTTTGCAAAGACAAGATGTTTGTGTTCTCTGGCCAGAGTGGAGCAAAGATTACCAATAATCTCTTCCAGTTTGAATTCAAGGAAAAAATGTAAGTGTAGCCAATTAAGTCACGCAATATCCACATAATCCTTGACTACTTGAGTTGAGAAAGGCATGTACTTAAAGAGTATTGAGGAAGAATACTGTATCTCATGTCTAAAAATGGTAGATTATTTCCAGAAAGAAATCTTTCAATGAGACTTCATAGTTTTCCATGTGTTTTCTCTGTTTTTTTAACAGGAGCACAGAAAGTTCTGTAGATTCACTTTTAAGTAATAATGATTGATCTCAGTTTATTCAGAACTGGATGCCAAATGTTACTAGAAGTCATTGAACACATACTTGATTAAAAACAATTTTTGAGAAATCCCATGTAATTCTAGTTTATTCTGAACTGTAGTTTGAATAGTATCTTTTAAAATTATATAAACTGAGTGATTTCAATAAAGATATAATCTTGAAGCACCCCGCTTGGGGAAAGGGTACATTATCTATTCATATATCCTGTTGCATGTGTGATGTGCACAGCTAATGCATTGCTATAGCTCCTGATTTTCCCATTTAGTTCCTGGTGGTGTCTTTAGTGGGACAGTTAAGTGTTTCATGCTGAAGACCAACAGAAGTAGCACTGTGATAACTACTGCTTGAGAACAAAGCTACTCTATGGCCAACCCTGAATGGTGAAATACAGAATCAAATGGTTGATTCTGTATCTCTTGTATCTCATGCATACACTTTCAGATGAGAAATTCCAGTATTTTAAAGTAAGTTTGGTTTTTTTAGCTCCCAGTCTTAATATCAAAAAAATATATTTGGTAGTGTTGAAATATAATAGTAAAAATCTGGATACGGTTGGATGAAAAGCTACTTTAAAATTCCTGAGTTGCAGAGATCAGACCATCATAAATTCCATCTTAATTGAGGAATACCAAGCTGCAGGCCAGATGATCACAAACCAGTTTTGAAAATTTGATTTTCCTGCTTCTTGGATTTTTCTGTACAGCTGTAACAAAAGCTAACTGCTGCAAATCCCTAGTTGAAATAGTGTAAGATTGTTAAACTACCTACTGCCTTATCAGAGTGTGAGACCTTATCAGACAGTTGCCATTTGATGGTTAGCTGTTAAAATACATATGGTGATATAACACAGCTAGTTAGTGGAGCCGTGTTGCCTTTAGAGCGTTTTCAGTTAGAAGTTTGGCAGCACGGGGTTGACGTAGCTCTCAGAAAGTTGAAGGATTAATGGTTATCTGCAATTGTACAGACTCACTAAGTACCTTAATGGGCTCCTTTTACTAATTTATGTGGTCGGAGAGTTGGAAAAATCACTTTGGAGAACCGAATGGTAAAAGCAATGCTCTGCTTCATGTCTTGTGCCTCAGCTGGACACGGATTCCCACGGAGCACTTGCTCCGCGGCTCCCCTCCTCCTCCGCAGCGCAGATACGGCCACACGATGGTGGCGTTTGACCGGCACCTCTACGTGTTTGGAGGAGCAGCGGACAACACGCTGCCCAACGAGCTGCACTGCTACGACGTGGACTCGCAGACCTGGGAAGTGATCCAGCCCAGTCCGGACAGCGAGGTAGAACGTTCAGCGTTTTTCCATTTACACACTCTCTTTTCCAATCCATCTCTTGTAGCCAAACTGTGGGCACGCTGTGGACAGGGGTGGAGAATTTTAATTGAACAATAATAGCTTCTTCCCACTAACAGTTAAGCAGCTGGAATAGTGTGGACAACATTCTTTAGAAGCTCATCAGTGTTGACACATTAAAAACGCTTTCCTTCATGCTTTTTAAAAACCTCATAAAACACTTGAATTACCAGTCTTGAGTCAAGCATTATCTCCCAAAAATGAGGAGTAATCTCAGTGTGGACTAGCTAAAGCAGACTTCCAGACCAGATAAGGTACTGGTTGTTTTCACTGCAGTAATTCCTGTGTTTCTGTAAAATCTTAAATTCTGTAATATGGAGAAGACCATTTTCCTTTTAGCCAATGTAAAAGCTACATACAAAGAAAGATATGATTGCAAAATTGAGGATAATGGGAAAGCTCAGAAATGGCTATTTTTGGAAAGAATTTGAGTTAAAAAAGTGTATTTCAAAAAAAAACACTGAAACCCTGTCATGCTTTTAGCATGGGCAGAAAAAGACAGTAGGCTACTTATGACCAAGTAAACATCCAAAATGAGAAAATAAAATAATAAAGATTAAAAACTTGTTAATATGTCCTCTGGGCTGCTCATTATAATGCAGCAATTAAGTGGTAGTATGATCTTTTTTGCATACTGATAGATAAGCGTCCCTGGGATAACCTGGCATTGCAGAGCTGAAATGTGGAGGGTTTGCAGAGTCTTTGTAAGTGTGGTTTCCATGGCTTCTGATCATTTAATTTCCATGCAAAATGGAAATGGAAAAAAAAAGAAGTAGGTTTCTCAAAGCTTGTATTTAAATACGTGTTTCCTGAATTTAGAATGATTGCATTCACTTTATTTGTTCATTTTAGTAGGTTTTGCCTTAAGCCATATTAAAATATTTTAGCTGTTCTAATACTAAGGATGGAGGGTTTGCATTAGCTGATGCAAGAAGAAATAGTTGATATTGGTTTGCTGAACAGAGAACTGCAGAGCTTAAGGTTATACTTTAAAGAGATAGATAGTACATGAATAAGGAGGAAAGGCACATGTATTCATTTTTGCCAGAATTTGCATGACTGAAGTGTTCTTATCTTTGACTACTGCACTGTAGTTTAGTTTGTCTTCAAGGGCACATAATTCAGTATCTGCTAATTAGGAAAGTACCATTACACACAGCTCTGACAGTAGCAATGCATGGCAGTCTGGTTTTAGGAAATTATTTGACCAAAGTATTTCAAGGAAGCCTACTTTATGTTTGACCAAGTTGGTGTATTTTCACATGAAATGAGTAAAACACCAGTCCCACCTTTTTAAAGATAGAGTCATCTTCAGGAATGGAAACCCAGTTCTGTGCCTGCCACTCTTTGATGTTTGAGACTTCCTCAAATTTTCATTCTTTGGGATACGATGCTTATTGCTAGCAGGAGCAAAGCTGCTGACAGTGTTGCAGAACAGCACTGGCATTGGATTTAACCCCTGCTAAAATGAATGCTGGTATTTTCCTGGGCTCTCTGCAGTGCCAGATATCTGCTAGTTGCATGGGTCATGTTTTGAAGTTTCTCCAACTGCTATGGCATCTAGAGACTTAATTTTGCAAAAAGGCAATGAGAGATTTGAAGCACTGCTGGGACACATGGTTGCAATGTTTTTTGAAAGGCAGAATAACTGTAAAGCCCAAGAGACTTCTGACATTTTGAAGAAGTTTAGTTTTGGATTGATGGGTCATTTCTCAGGATTGTTTTCCTGACGTTCCTGGGGGCTTTTGGTAAAGACTTTGAAGAGTCGTAGTGAATCTTTACTATCATATTATTCCCAAGATAGTTTCTGAACTCGTACAATTTTTCTTTCTTATCTGTACCTATAAACAAAATGATTCCCATTAAAAGAAAACAAAGTTGAAGACATTGAGGTGAGCATTATCTCAACACTTCAAGTCCTGTGATTATACTTGAAGCGATGGTGATCACTTTAAGTGTGCAGTAGGATGCTCTGTCTAGGATTTCGAGTTGATGATTTCTTTGAATGGATGAATTGTATTGGTGTATTTTGTATATCCCTGGATTTTCCTGTTGTTTATTTCTTAAGGAACATAGCTCAGAAAGGCTGTCCTGCAGCTTCCTCGTTCCAGGAAGGGTGTTGAAGCGGATCTTGACCGGGTGTAGCTGTGGGAGCACAGGCAGCAATCCAGCATCACCTGCTGCAGGTGCATTGAGACAGGGCTGTGTTGTCTCTGCAAAGACAGCATGGTCATGGTGGTGGCTCCCTTTTTGGGCATCCTTTGAGGCACAGCTCTAGGGTTCCTCCTCGGGTGGATTACACTGGCAAAGTTTGTGGGCAGCTAAGAAGGATTAAAAGGATTTAATCGACCTGTCGTGGATGGATCTGCTATGGTTTCCTTATGAAGAGATCAGCTACTCCTGTTGAAATATCCTCAGGCCAAAGAGTCATGTTGTTATGTGAAAATAAAAACCCAATTCCTGCAGTGAGACCCCTACAAGATCTCATTACCTTTGGATGCTGTGAGTTTAATTCCCAGGGTATCGTCTTCTGCTAGTAGAGATAAGGTTTAGCACTTCACAATCCAAAGAGAAAAGTGATTTTTTTATATGATCATAAAGAATAGGTGATATTTGGCCTTGCAGCCTTTTTGGAAGGTAATTAGAAAATATATACATTTAGGATCTTTGTGCCAGTGACATTCTATTTTGGAAAGGATAAGATTTATAAAAATCTGGTTAGTTGGAGTAAATATAGTTAAAATCATAATTCACCTTGACTTGTTACTCAGCTCTTCATCCATATCCATTTTGAATGATTTTCATTACATGCCTTTACAGAATCTTTGCAGAGAAAAGAAAAATTGAGGAATACCTGGATAAATGGAAGAAATATATTTGGGTACATGATTTACCAGTAAGAAGCTAGAATAATACAGTATGAATGTGAGTTGAGTGAATCAGATATAAACTTGGATATTTGAAAAGAAATGAAATACAGTTTTGAATGAGGAATAGTTTATGATTTGGCTTAGATTCTTCAGGGACCAGACCTTATTGCTGCACTGTTTAAAAGGTCTGTCAATGACCTCAAAGAAAACAGAAAATCGCAGCTTTCCCAAATATTGATTTCTTGTCTGGCATTTGCCCATGATTTATTAAAAGAACAGACCGCTGGGCATGATTTGGATTCTTGTTAAGGCAGGCACAGACAAACAATACGTATTTCGGTATGTATGCGAAGCAGTAAATCTAAGAGGAGGGAATATGAGCTAAACTTAATAGTTTCCCTTACTCTTTGGAAATGATGACTTATAAAAACTTTAGTCATTGTGGGTATTTGATGACAAACTCATAGCTAAATCTTCCAGTGTAAAATCTTAGCGTCTCGTGTCCACAAATCGAGGATGTTATTCAGAGAATGTGTCTGGAGATGGTCAAAGACTGCAAAACATAGTTTTGGTTGGGTTGGGAAACTCGGTCTTTTAAGGGAAGGTTTGGGAAATTAATTCCTCGCTGTTTAGAAAAGTCTACCTGGAGTGCAGAGGCTTTGTAACCAACTGGTAAAAGATAAGGCAAAATCTCATGGCTGAATGCTGAGCCTAGATGGAGTGTAAAGTTGAAAAAAGAAGAAGTATTTAAAGGTTCGCAGGTTTTAGGATGTTCCATGAATCATTACCTCTTTATGAGAGTTTTTTGGGAGTTTCTCTGCTACTGAAGCAGGATTTGATGTTTTCTGTAGGCTTCTTCCTCATGAACTACTTTTTACTCTGTGCCACAATCCATGAAAATAGCTTTTCGGTGAACTCCTTCGTATGAACTGAAATTGATGGAGAACGTCCTATGTTTTAAACTGTTTCCAAGTTCCATGGTGAATCCACATTGGCAATATCATTATGATGAGCTCAGTAAATGCATTGCAGCCAAGATAGTTCTGACTCACTAACAGTAGTGCAGTGCTGGAGGTTTCGTGAGAAGTTTTGAGGAGTCGCTAGCAATGGAAGTGGTAGGAGTGGAAATGGTCTCTGCTTAGTGCTCTCTGGGTATCTGTGAAAGTGATTTTGTTAATTCTATTCTAAGACATTTTTTTCCCTTGTATCAAGTCAGAGTTTCCCAAAGCCTTTCCTGTCCTCGGGAGCAGATCAGGGCTCAGCACTGCAGACAAGTGCTGAGTTGAGGCAGGGGGAAATTACTTCTCCTGACCTGCTGCTTGTGCTCGTGCTGATACAGGCCAGGACCTTCATTACTGCTGCTGACCCCTGATCAGCTTGTTGGCCCCCAGGACTCCCAGGTTTTCTACCAAGCTGCTTCCTAGACAGCTTGTCCCCTCCTTGCACCATTGCAAGGAGTTATTCTGTCCCATGGGCAGAGCTTTGCATTTGCTGTGGTTGAATTTCATGAGGCACCTATCAGCCCGTTCTTCCAGCCTTGTAGGTCCCTCTGAATAGCAGCCTCCGGCACTTCAGCTGCTCTGAACAATTTGGTATTGACCACAAACTTGCTGGGAATGCGGTGCTTTCTTCTCATCCCTGGAGGTGGTTATCAGGGTAGTTGGGAACAATTAATCCTGGTAAATCCATGGTGACTGTTTCCAATCACCTTCTCCTTCACATGCTAGAAATAGCTTCCAGAAGGATTTCTTCCCTAAGTTTCAGGAAGTGAGATGAAGCTGACTGACGCATAGTTTGCTGGATCCTCTTTATAAAAGGTGGAAGAAGCCTTTGCCCAAGTTGTGATCACATGGCAGATCTTAGAAGCAAGAGGTTCTTTCTGGCCTATGGACAGCACTTTGTTTACTGTCAGGTACTTGGATCCATGAGTCATCATGGTCTGTGATAGATGAGTCCCTTGTCTTACTACGAAAAGGGTAATTATCTAAGGAAAGGCATAAAAAAGCACTTTGGGACTTGCACTGTGCTGCTTCTTTTTTAAATTTCCAGAACTCTAATATGCTGCAATTCACTATAAAATGCTTCTGTTCCAGTTTTGCCTGAAAACCATGCAGATTTTTCAATACCCTGCTTATGAAAATATTTGTAACCCTTAAGCTTCCTTGATGAATAGCCCACGCTCAGTATGCCCCTCTGTCTTAGGAGGCTGTGCTGTTACCTGGCATGATAGTGTGGAAGTATCCCTTGAGTAAACTCAAGTAGTGAAATCACATTTAGACCTTTTGGAGCTTCTCTTCCAGTTTCAGAAGAAAACACATGTGTATATATATATATTTTAAATCATTTTAGTTTTTATTTGTTCATCAGATTTGTTTCTTGATGGCCTTAGGCCTTTTCATTCCATTTTGGCCAGAGTCTGTAGCAATATTGGAAGATAGAGGCTCATCGGTGTACCTAGGCCATGGAATAGATGTGGATACGTGATTGCTGGCATTGGAGTTCAGTACAATAATCAGCTTCCTTAGTTACATGCTCATCCTTGTGTGGGGTTGAGGGCAGTTAAGAACCTGCATAATAGTAATTTATTGTTTAAGAAATCTTACGAGAAGCTGAGAGAATGATAAAGCCAAACTATGAAATACTTAGCTAGAGTGGACTTGACTTTAGCTGTCTCCTCATATTGGTTAGTGTTGGGACTTCATTCTGAAAGAGCCTGAAAATATGTAAGAAATGCAATTGAAAATGAACAGAAGATGCAAGAAAAACACTGGAAACAACACAAATAACCACAGCCACAGCCTAACAGTGTGGCTAATAAAGTCTTCACAGCCAAATCCTCCAAGAACATCTGGAAGAGAAATGAACAGAAAATCAGATCATTATGGTTTTGCCTCCTTGGACCAGAGCTCCTGATGGAAGCAGGAGAGCGTTGCCTTTGGGCCACTTTGGTCCAAATCATGCTTTCAGGTGGCCCTCAGAGGGCTGGAGGGGCAGCTGGATGTGTTAGCTTGAGGCCACTTGCCTCTCATCGTGCAGTGCTATAATGTGTAACCTGGGACTGGCGTCCTGGTAGAAAATAGTTACATTTTTGCAGTCTTCCAGATTTGGTTGCCAGCTTTGATGTAAGATTTGGGTTGTCTCTCCGAGGTGGTTGATCTGCCTTGCTTTTGGATCAAGCCAAAATGGGAAATCTGTCCCAAACCACAGGAGTATTTGGTTGATGTTGCTTCATTGCTATCTTTGCTGATAATCTCATTTTCCCTGTCATGATAAGCAAAGCTCTTGAAATCACAAAGAGCCACTGGAGGGCGAGAACAGGCAAAAAGGAATTAATGCTTAAAATTTTAATTGCTGTGTATGTCAGACATTGTAAAAAAGCATAAGAAATCTAATTTGTTAAACTGCTTAACCACAGCGAAAGGCTCAGGACAAGACTTTCTTTGCTGCTCCTGAATGTTTGGGCATGACCTTTGGCTCAGTCAGTGTCCCCTCTCTCATGCCTCCCACCTATACTTTTATACGTTATTGTTTTTAAATCTTGTAACCAGGTGTCCCATCCAGAAGCGGCCGAGAGAGTATCTGCCCCAGAAGAAGCTCCTTCCTTGCCCTCAGAAGAACGTGGTTTAAAAAAATCTCGGGATGTATTTGCTTTAGATTTCGGCATAACAGCAGTTAAGCAACCACCCACAACAGACTCAGAGGTAAATAAAGTAACACACAGAAGTGAAAAAAAAAATGCAAATTAAATTCTATGGCAGGAGGAGAAAGTAGATTCCAGTCTTGTGCATCCTTTCTCCTCTCCACTTCTTTCCTCTTTCCTTGGAATTTCCTTTTTTTGAGCCACTCTGCTTTAATCTGCAAGCTAAGAAAGATTTAAGCCTCGGTTTTGCACATATGAGTTCCAAATTCTATGTGAAAAAGTAGTATAGACCTCTGAGTGGAAACCATTTGTCTGATTTAATTCTAATTTTACGTTGCTTCCACTTAATTTGTTAAAGACTTCAAGTTAAGCTGAATTTATATCTAGCCAGGCCAAAATTGCACTACATGGGTTTTTATAGGGATTTGTACAGATTTCGCAAAGTTTATTTTAAAGTGTGGGGATTTTAGCCCCTGAGGTCATGCTCGGGGCTGTCATCTCAACTACATGAGTGATTACGAGGCTCTTTAACACAGAGGGAAGCAAAACACGACTTTGGAAGTCAAATGAGAACCTGCATTAGCACCACAGGACAAACTCAATTTCCGCAGTCCATAGAGGATACAGAATGAGATCTAAGTGTAAGAAACACCAAGAAAATGAGTGTGTTGCTTTCTGAAGCACTTGGATTTTTGAAAATAATGATTGGGGTCATGCCAGCTGTGTGGCAAGCAAATCCGAAAGGGAAGCAAAGGTGACAGATGAGATCTGCTTTTGAAAGCAAAGGTCCCAGCTCGAAGGGAGCCTCCAATTGCAAATCTCATTAACCTTAAATAGACAAAACACTTCACAGATGAAACGGGGCAGTGTATCTGAGGGAGAGATGCCACCCGGGATCATGAAAGCTGTCAGGCTTGACTCTAGAATTTGTTTTGTCAGGCACTGCTGGTGAAGTAAGGAGATTGTGGTGATTGAGAGATAAATACAGAGTCTAGAGCTGGCAAATATTTTCAAGCTGGCAATGCAGCTTGGAGAGCCCACGATTTGTAGCAGTCTCATGTGCACTCTGAATGAGGAGGAGGATGATAACCCTTCAGATTCCCACATGGAGATGGCCAGTGGAAACCGTTACTGAAGCTGCAGCCACTGCAAATCAAAAGCAGAGTTCTGCCCAGGTTATCTCCCCCGTGGGACTCAAGTTATGTGTGCACAGTGCTGATTTAGATAAGCTGTTGTCATCACACCAGGTGGACTTCATCAGTAGATAAACCTACCTTTATCAACAAGCATGCCTAACACAGGCCTGTCCCTAAGGTGTTAGGCTTTTTGTGAGAATATTGAACATAATTTCAGCTTTGTTATCTGGAATGTTCATACTCTGGTACTCTGGGGAAGGGTAGTCATAATGTGAAGAGAAGTGAAGGCCTGAGGGACATGGGAAGCATCTGGGGGCAAAACCATTGGAAAGGTCCTTGCACTTGTGCTGTGAGAATAGCACAACTGGGAGCCCATCTCAGCAGCTCTGCACAGATAGGAAGGAAGAAACCTTGTGCTGCTGCAGAGCTGAGACCTCACTGGGACCAGGGACATGGTGAGATAGCTCAAGCGACCAGAAAGACAGAGAGGGACAGTGAGGAGAAGGGCTTGAGCTCCATGCAGAGAGCGTGGAGCTTCCTCATGAATGATCTGGGAACTAATGGATAATGATCAGAGCACAGACTGGCATGGATGACATTGGGAAGGTTTTAGCTTCAAGTAAAACAATAAGCAGCAGAAAGATGGTGGTGAGTTTTAGCAGGTTAGAACATGGCCAAATGTGAATGGGGTTTCACGGAACTGCAAAGGGACGCTGTGCTCTTATGTGCAGCAGGACTTGGTGATTTAACATGGTGAATACCTGGAGAAAAGAGGAAGAGAGGACATCAAAATAAAACTGTCAAAAAAAAAAAAAAACAGATTCATACTGTATATATCAGGTTTGCAGTTCTAACAGCTGGGTTATGGGAAGCCAGAAAGCCCTGAAAGTCTTAGAATAATGTTAAACTTTGCCCAGAACAGGCAACTCAGAGATACCTTGGAGATTGCACACGTTTTGTTCTACTCTTGCCTTCCTTTATGACTTCAGCAAATTAATACAATTTTCTTGCACTTCTTTCCCAAGATAGAATAACCAACACGTTCTTATGTTGCAGGCAGGTTGTGGAACAGTTGATTAGACTGTTCACATAAAAGAAGGAAAGTAGAATGACTGTTTTATCTAGCAAGATGGGGATTCGGTTCCTCATTTTTCTCTAAATTGACTTTCTTCCTCTGAAAGCAGCACTTAGTGGCTGTAAATTTGGCTTACAGTGTTGTGAGCAGGGCGACAGCAACAGTATATTTGAGTGACAGACTTGTTCTCTATGGCAGGTCTGATAAATGGCAACTAGTAAAACCCTTCAGTTTGGCAGATGGGTGGAATACCAATGTGTGGACCATCTGCAGAAGCTGTTGGAAAGCAGTATGGACAATCGGCAAACGTGACCCACAGTGGACACAGTGCAGAGAGGAGAATAACCTCTTTTCCATGTTTCTAATGGATAGGACAAGAATTAATGAGCTGATAATGCAGCAAGAAAGATTCAGGATGAGGACGAGAGGTAGCTTTAACATTAAGGATTATGAAGTGCTTGAAGATACTCGTGGAAACCTCTTCCTGCCAGAAGTGAATGTGACTGATATGTCAAGTTTGATGGTTCTGCGTTTGGGCCAAGATGTTTGCCCCACAAGGCATTAGTAAATGGTAGCAAATACAGTTTGGCTGTTACAGAAGCAAGTGACAGGTTCAGGGCTTGTTGGTCTCGTGCATGGAGTGGAGGGAATGTCTCACCGTGCAGGTGTGACTCTTTGGCAAAGAAGATCTTCAGGAAAGACAGCCGGGCTCTAAAAAGGTCTGGCAAGGGCTGGATGTTAATGGTAGAAAACAGAAAACCGTTATTTTCCCTGTCATTGTTGCACAGCTCTTTCGTGTGTAGTTTCCCATGGTAGGAGGATCTCTGGCCATCCAACTTTGCACTGCTTCACATTCTGCTAATTTCGTTCAGCTGAATGAAATATCCCAAAGCCCTCAGCTGTAGCATGGTTTGAGGCACCATATATGGCCTTTCTTCTTCTGGATTATCCTTTAATGTTTACCATTTCTGTTATTGTCTAGTTTAAAAATGTGATACGTTCGTTTGAGAGGTGGAATCATTGGCTTGCTGAACTTATTAGTAAGTAGCTGGACTTCAGTTACTTGGCCACTGTGGTACCAACCAGTGCAAATAAAGAAAAAACAATGTTAAAATGTTCCTTAACATTATAACATTCCTATTTAATCCTTGCTTGAGTTAAGTATAAAGTAACCAACAGGTCATGCCTTACCTGTTAAAATGTTTGGATGATTCATGTTTTTTCTCTGGCATCAATTATGAAAATGCTCAAGGTTTTTTAGTGGCAAAACATAAATGGTGTTTATTGTAATAACTGCTTTTTAAAAGCAAGTCCTTTACTGTTAGAGAATTATTTCAATTAAAAGCAAAATTTAAGTGGTATTTATTAAAAAAAAAAAAAAAAGAGTGAGAATGGCTCAGGTAGTTACAAGTGGGATGACTTGCATCAGATCTCTGATAGGAGGGTTTTATTTTATTTTATTTTATGATTTGAGTATCTGTTTTAAAACCATAATATAACTAATGTCAGCCCATATAGTTTTGCAACAACAGGTCTTGACAAGCAGTCTTCACATATCAGATGAGATTGGAGCTCCAGCTGATCACAGGATCAACTGATGTATTTGTCAACTTATACAATATATCTGATTAAGCTGAAAAAAAAAAGAGATTACTGCCAAGAATTAATATAGCCCTTATAAAATGGATTCAGTTTTCCAATAGTATCATCCTCTTTTGGAGATATACCAACTAGGGGCCATTTTTTTTTGTTGAAAAAATATTATTCAGTAATCTCTTCAGCAGGGTATTTACCAAAGAAAATTTAAGCTTGCTGCTAAGAAAGATCTATTAAATATGCTGAAGAGTAAGGAGTTTTACCTAGAGTAACTTAGATGTCTCTTTAAAATGGCACAAACATGCTCTTTAAGGTGACCAAATTTGTGGCTGTGCATTTGAGAGCAACATCAACAAAAATGCAGACATTAGTTACCACAGAGGGGACTGTGTCCTTGAAAGCTGTAGTTTGATGGGAAAAAAAGAGTCAGAAATATTCGGGTGAGTATCAAGTTAAATGAGGCCGTTGTGTGATGCTGTGGTAGAAGGGATAATTCTGTGGGAATGAAAAATGCCGGCCAGCATGGTTTCATGGAAAATGTGCCTCTCCAGATAAACATAATGTTTTTCCTTGTCTGATTTTGCTTGAGTCGAGTCTATAAATATGTATGGGAAGAAAAGATTTATTCTACCAGAGGCTTTTTTATTTAATAGGCAAAGATTTTTGCAAGATTTGCTGTATGAAAAAGGAAACAAGCCTAATCAAACTACCAAAAAAAAAAGTAAAATCACTTGAAAATTTTGCTTTAGATATCTCAGTGAGGTGTGCTGATTTGACCCAATACCTTGTGTAAAATTGAGGGAAATGGGTGAAAATAATCTGGTCTATCTTATACAAGAAGGTTCCTCTGCACCTTCGAGTTCCCGGGATTCCTTCCCTCTGTAAAAAATGTCAAATACCAAGTCGAAGGTTGTGCAACAGGAGGTTGTCCCATCCCTCAGTCCTATAAACAGCTGAGGCTTCATGAACCCTGGACTTTATTTTTCCAGCATTTTGGAGAAAGGAGCCTTTTCTCCAGGGTGCCGACTCTTCCACTGCAGAGCCCTTTTGCAGCCTGTGGCATTGCAGGTCCAAAGCTCAATATCCTGCTGAGATAAAGAGCAGTTTGCATCCCGGGCGATGCTCAGATTAAGCTCTGAGTTTATATACTGCTCTCATTCGTGGGCTGCGTTTATGCCATGGTTTTATTTTCCTGCATAAAACTTAGCTTCAAGTTGCAGTGCTGGGGAAATGATACAATTGCTGAAGTGCCGTTCATAGAGCTGTGCGTATGGGTGATTTGGATCAGAAGATGCAATGAAGAGCTGTTTTTAAAGGTGGCTGGACAGCATGTTCTGCATATGATCAAGAAACAACCTGAAAATATAATAAACATCAGTGTTAGTATGCAAAGAGTTGTGTCACTTCAGACTGCTTTGGCTTCCTCTGCTTACTGCTGCTCTGTTACAGGCCCTCCTTCCTGGGAGGAGAAGGAAATAGGATTTATTCCTGTAGCTATTTTGTCCTTTTGTTTTTTCTGTCCTCTAGCTACCCAGTGGGAGGCTCTTCCATGCTGCGGCCGTCATCTCCGATGCCATGTACATCTTCGGCGGGACCGTGGACAATAACATTAGAAGTGGCGAGATGTACAGGTTCCAGGTAACGTAGCTTACACAAACTAAACTAAACTCCTGCTTTGCTTCTCTGCAAGTCCTGCTGCTGCTCCCTACCGACCCGTAAGAATCCAAAATTGTGAGATTCCCAGGGGTTTGTAGCAGATCGCATCCTCCTCCCACACTCTAGTGTTTATGTTGTGTGGGACTTGCAAATAGCTTTGGAGACCAGATGAGGCTCCTAGCCATGAAATCCTAATCTGTATGATAAGACACAAATCTTGGTTGTTACTTTATGTTGTTTTTTGTTGCTGTCACTGCAAAGGAAATCCTTGGATACTTGGTTCATCCCTATTTTCTATGGTTTCTATGCTACACTGAGATCAAGTTAACAGGAAAATCCAGGAATAGGATGTAACTACAGAGCTTTGGAGACAGCCAGTTGAAATGAATAAAAATAAGTCTTGCTGTTTGTTTTTTCTTTTAGTTTTCTTGTTATCCAAAGTGCACACTACATGAGGATTATGGAAGGCTGTGGGAAAACAGGCAATTCAGTGACTTGGAGTTTGTTCTGGGAGAGGTGAGTACATTTTAGTGAAAATGGTGTTTTGGTTGGACTGACTGAATATGTGACACAGGTGTATGCATCATGTAGAATGCTAGTTGAGGAAAATCTAATTTGTCCCATATTTGGGCCAGAAATCCTGGAATTAGCTTATGAGAACCCCTGGTGAAAATGTTATCTAATCCAGGTAAATTTATAAAACTGCAAAGGAAAGAAAAAAAAACAACTTTGTAAACTTTGACGCAGAAAATCTCTGTGTCGCTGAGACAGAACTTGAATTTATCAGAGTACTTTATATGTAATTGCAGTGTGAAAATGATAGTAAGAACTTGTGCCTCTGGGCCTCTTTTCGTGGGAAGAGCAGGTCAGTGTTTTGCAGATCTATTTCAGAATCTGTTTTTATTTACTGAAATAAAATGGAATGATAAAACAGTAGAAAAGAATGTTACTCTCCAATAATGAAAACAATTATCAAAGTTAAAAAAAGCATTTTTCCTTAGAAAATGCTCTTTTCTCTGAGAAATTTCAACTTAACTATATCCTTTTTACAAAAAACATTGTTACAGAAGACTTTGCAAGTAGATGAACATGTATACTGTGGATTTGAAAGAAAGACAATCTAAAAATCAGATGTAAAGCCAAGGAGTAGAATCTGTGGTACTGAACTTGCACAACTTCTAGTCAGTAAATATAACAAAGACTCTTTTCAAATGATTTTTGCCATTGCTGAGTCTTTAGGAAAAAGTAGGTGTTGAGTCTCATCTGAATATGCAGAGAAGATATAAGCTTGCTTTTGTTTTTAAGTTAAAGTACCCATATGGTACCTGAGAATCAGCCCAGGGTTCTGCTGCTTCTGCCATCTTCCACTACCATGTGATTTGTAAAAACGAGTTTGTTGTGTGCTCTCCTTTTGCCTCTGACAGAAGGAAGAACGAGTCCGGGGACATGCTGCAATCGTTACTGCCCGCTGCAAGTGGCTGAGGAAGAAAATCATACAGGCAAGGGAGAGACTGAAACAGGCAAGTGTTTCAGAGCAGTAACCCTATGGCAAGGTAATGCTTGTTCTGTCCAAATCTGGATATAAAATTGTTAGGGAAAATACAACATTTGCTGAGACAGGTGTAGGAGCAGATCAGCATCTGATGCTCAGGTGATGCCAGGCACGTGCAATACTGGGGATAGTTGGTATTAACATAGGGTATTGCACATGGGTTAGAGCAGGCAAAGAGCATAACGTGGAGGAACCAGCGTTAATCCAGTTATCTGGATTTGGCAGAATGTTCACGGGCCCTGTCTTAGCTGTCTGTTTGAATCTTGTAGCACGCCCCTAGGGTGGGAGGCTTATCCCATGCTCTGGGAAGGGCAAAGGCTGCAGGCAGTTTGGGATGGCCTGCAAGACGAGAGAGATTAGAGAGAAGAATGAGTTAAGGTTTTGAGAGTGGCTTGTACTTTAGTATTTTCTAATTTTCCTATATTGCTGGTGCATGTGGAAAATGCTCAACTTTACAGACAGCTTTTCATCATCAAACATTTTGTTATTTTTGAGGAAGTGGTAGCAGCAGGGAAGACATGAAGAGAAGACACCAACAGGTCTTCTAGACACACGGATGCTTCATTGCCCTTTTGCTAGTTGCTTTGCCACCCCATAGCCCTCCATCTTCCCTGGAAAAGGCTGCAAGGAAAGGGCTGTCAGACTGAAACTTGGAAGCAACAACCTCAAAATACTTTTGCACAGCGCTTTGTGCTCTGACTCTGCAAGGCAGGGTTGTGTGCAACTTGCTGCTGTGTCTTCCTTCTCTCTTGGCTGTGAAGCAGTTGATGGGAAGGTCTGTGCTACTCCTTCCTTTTTTTTCCAAGGTCATTTTTGAGATTTATCCAGGAATTCCTATTTATTTTGATCTGGATTTGCAACAGGAGAGGGAACTCCTGTTCCCTGTAAGGGATGTGCATTTTGAACCTTGAAGATTGTGCAGGCATGAGAAGGATCCTTCCTCTGGCCTAATGGTAATGGGTATGGGTTGACACTACCTTATGGTCATGTTTGAACGTTTTTTCTCTCTCCTTAGAAGTCAAAGCAAGATATTGAAGACGAGGGACAGGCGGCGTGTCAGAAGGATGGGATTGGTGGCAGTGTCAAGCTGTGCCGCCTGCAGCCTCTCCTGGAGGTGCCCATCCGCGAGGCCGAAGCTCAGCCCTTCGAGGTGCTCATGCAGTTTCTGTACACGGATAAAATAAAATACCCCCGCAAAGGTAAGACAGCAGGGTGAAAACAAAATATTAGCAACTCAGAAACAGATATTTACTTTGGTATGGAGTAAGCATTTGCAGATAAGCTCTTAGCACCTGATTACTTACCTGAGATTAAAAAAGTATATTGCAAATTTCTGTCAACACATACTGTGCAGTGCTCCAGTGTTCCTTGATTCTTTTCAAATATCAAGGAAAACTAGGTTCTTCATCTTTCTGAAGAAGTATAAAAAAATGTGTTTTGAACAGAGAAATGGGAGGTAAATCTTAAACTTGCAGGAGTGCAAGTTTTGCTTGGTAGCTTTGGGTACATTTCACAGTGGAAACTGCAGGAAAGCTCCTCTGCAGGCAGATAATTTATCTATTACACTGAACAGGCTCTGTGTTACAGCAGCCTGCTTGGAAGAACCATGCATCTTATACTGGCTTATTTCCTTTCTCTGCTACTGCTCGAGGCTGCCGCAGAGAAAGGCAGAGCAAGGCAGTATTCATCCTCTCTTCAAAAAGTCAATCCAAAGAAACGCCTCAAGAAGGAAAAATCCATTAGATGCATTCACTGAAGATCCCTGAATTTAAAACACTTAGAGGATGAGAGGCAATAGCCAGAGACCACTCAGCTCTGACACAGCAAAACTAATTTGTGGCTATGACTGAGCAATGAGGTCTGCTGGGCCACGAGGGGAGCTCCCTTTGGTGAGGACCGGGCAAGCTGCAGGCACCTGGCCCAGTGCTTTCACCTGAGGTACATCTACCCAGACACTGGAAGCTTTGTTTCAGTTTGAATCCAAGATCATAGTGCTTTCACCTGAGGTACATCTACCCGGACACTGGAAGCTTTGTTTCAGTTTGTCCTTTCTAGGACAAGGTAATTCTCAAGAAAACACTAATTCATATGTGGTGGTCCCAAGGAAGCGATCTACAGGCTTTCTCTGCAAAATGGCATGTCCCAGGGCAAACCTAAGGAATGGGGACAAGAGAATCTCCTCCTTGGTTGCTGCCAGCATTGCCAGATCCCAGTCTTAGCCCCTTGGTTAATTCTCAGCACATCCATTGTGGGGCAGAATCAGACTAAGGAAGGGATTAGCACATTGAACTTCTCCCTTTGTTACAGGCTTTCCCAGACCTTTCTCGCCAGCCCCTCAAACCATCTCCCTGGTGCCTGCCTTTCTGCAGTGCTGTTAATCTGCTGCAATCCCCCAGTGGCTCTGCTTGTACCTATTCCTGGTTGCTGCTCTTAGTCCGGAGGGCAGCAGCTCTGGGGAATCCTCCTTTTGGAGGCTGCACTAATAGAGTTGGGCATGCCTAGCAAATGAGATTTTGCTTATTAGATCCAGGGAAGCCACATTACGTGCAAGGCAGCTTTTCTCTGTCAAAAAAAAAGTAGTTACGGCAGATGGCCAGAGATCCCCGGGGAGAAAAGCAAAGGCTACGGTGGCTTCTTTGATTTCATGTCCCAGGAGCCCTCGTGCAGTAGCCAACCTGGGTCCCCACTGCCCTCCTTACCTTCAGCCCTCTCTTCTAGCCCAGCCTTAGATGTGTTGCATGCGCAAGCACAGCCTGTTCTCCTAAGAGCCTGTCAAAATTGGGGAGCTGGTTGCTAGCGCTTCGTTAATACCTGGGACTTCAACGTGTTGCAAAATGAGGCTGCTTATGTGTGAGCTTGTAAATGAGTTTAGGGCCTTCACTTTCTTCTGAGAGGTTTTTACATTTGGGCTCTAGATTGACACAAAGTCTTAGTCTGAAACATGTTCTGGGGTGGCTGCTTTCAGCCCTCGATTTTGAAAGACTGTTTGTCCCCTCTTTTCAGTACCAGTTCTTGATTTAGTCAAAGAAGCAATGGATTTTTTTTTCTCATAAAAATACTTTACTAATCTCTGTCCATTCAGGTTCATACTAAAAATTATTTTGCATTGTTTTTCCTTTGAAGTCTCTAGAGATACAGAAAGGCATTGTTATCTCTTGTATTTTCAGGCCATGTGCAGGATGTGTTACTTATTATGGATGTATACAAACTAGCCTTAAACTTCAAGCTCTCTCGACTGGAACAGCTCTGCCTGCAGTATATCGAAGCATCTGTAGATCTGCAGAATGTGCTCGTTGTGTGTGAAAATGCTAACAAGCTTCAGCTGGATCAGCTAAAGGTAATCACATTTTGCATACGAAGTAGCTGATAAGAAATAAAAAAAATCTTGACGTAATTAATGTTTTATAAAGCTGTCAGCTTTTGCAAGTGTGGTTCTTCCCTGTAATTGTAGTTGCTGGAGTATGTATTAGCGTGGATAGTGCTCCAGGCACTTGTGAATATTATGTGGGCTTTTAGAAAGTGTTAGCTGTGTTTGGTGAACTACCCTGTAGGATGCAAAAGGCAGAGTGACTTTGGTTCAGACTGTGCTTGTGCTGTCGTGCTGTGGCTCCTATGAAGGGCAACCAGAGCCGACTCTCCTTAAAACTGCAGAGAAGAAGCTCCTGCCCCCAAGCCCAAGGGTCGCTGTGAGGTTCCTGCAGTGCCGGTGTGAGCAGCGGTGCACGTCTGCAGCCTGGGCAAGTCAAGCTGACAGTTACCACCAGGGTAGGGCTAGACAAACCAGTAGGTCCCAGCACTCCCTGTCACACTCTTTATGTGCTGGGTTTGGGCAAAGAAAATCCAGTAGGACAGCAACAGTTGGCAGCAATTACGTAAGTGCTGGCACAGCCTTTGATGCATAGGACCCTGGTGCCATCAGCTGCCCAGAAGCTCAAGGATGGAGCATTTTAGCACCCATGGATCTTCTGTCAATAATTTCAGATAAATCAGGTACCTCCAGCTGCCTTAGCTACCAACAAGCTGGCAAGGGCTTTTCTGGATCACTCCATTTCCTCAGAATCATTTTAAATTAGCATTCTTTGCTCTCAAGTGCTTGTTACTCCTCATGGTGAAGTGTCTTGAGCTGTTGTCATTCTCCGCTTATGCACAATGCTGCTCCTCTGGGACTCGGGGCTTATAAAAGAACTAAGGGACAATTAGGCCTGCTCTGTGGCAGCACATCAGGCAAAGAGATGCATTCCTGATGGCTATGACTGTCTGAAAAGAATGCAGTTTCCCTCACAAAGGATAACTGAGAACTGAACAACTCATCCTTGAGAGAGACAGTTCCTGCAACATAGGGGATAGCTGCAGCACTGCAAGGTGCAAGTCTGTTGAAAGGTGCTAGAATATTCTGCAGTATCAAATAGTGTATTTTTAGATTGCAATGGATAATTATGAACGTCTAATGAAGATTGAGATGGTTCTTTGTACTGATAACTGATATTGCCACCAGAAAGAAATTGGTTAGATTTTGAAATGGGAGGGCTTTTTATCTAATGTATGTGGTACTGTAATATCTTTTTGTATGAGTAAAGTGACTTTTTTTTTTTTCTTTAAGGAACATTGCCTGAACTTTGTGGTGAAAGAATCACACTTTAACCAGGTAATAATGATGAAGGAGTTTGAACATCTTTCCTCATCCCTCATAGTGGAGATTGTGCGGAGAAAACAGCAGCCTCCTGTTCGAATGCATTCCGATCAGCCGCTTGACATTGGTAACTATTATGTCCTGTAAAGGTAGTGGTTGTGGTGTTTTTGAGCTGCTAGGGACATATGTTGCTTAGGCTGTGCTTATTTGGCTTCCCAGACTAAGAACACTCCAGTTCTTTCTTCAGGGATTTTCACTCAGAACACTGTTCCCATCAAAATACCTGTAGGGTTGTGTTGTACTTACTCATCTCCATGCAATATATGAATCAACAATATATAAGAATCAAGTCTCCTGGATGAGTTCAGAGAGGCAGAAGGTATGGAAGGATATAAGGAAGGACCCCATGAAAAGGCAGTGGGGATTCAGTTAGTGTGAACAACAAAGTAACAAAGCTGTTAGCGGGGGAAGTTGACCTGCTCATGAATTGCCACCCAAGAGGGAGCAGCAGTGGGGAAGATGATCTTGGGAGTAAGCTGGTGCTGACAGGACAGATCTTATGGGAGAGAAAGGAAAAAAAAAAAGCATGGAAAAAAATAACCCAAAAAAAGTTAATGGAAGAAGCGATGGGAAGATAGGGAGGAGAAGATAAATAACTTGCATTAACAATCATGCCTTTCATTTTCATTCTGTGATTGTGCTGGAAGGAGAAGAATCGATTAATAATTCTGTTACAGAATTCATTGAGGACTGATTTGGGACTAGCCTTATGTAAGATTTTATCATCCTGAGTCCAAAAAAAGAAACACAATAATGAAATTTGCTGAGGCCCGGACGTTCAGAGACATTGCCAGTATTGCTTTGGAATACTGTGCAAAAAGAAGCGTGTACTGAGTAGTAGATAGAGGATGCTAGTCCGCTTGAAGGTCAAGTGGAAAACCTTTGGCTGACAGTCGTCCCAGGAAGAAGAGACATGCACTGTCCTGGAAGGTGGCACGGCCAGCCTCTATATTTAGAAATGAAAGGGCATTAAAGATGGAAACAGCAAAAAATTGAAAACTGCACTTCGCAATGAGGAAAGTGTTCGGATCAGACTTGAATGATTGCTCTATTTTTCGATTATTGTATATTTTCAAGGCTAATTAAAATGTTTTATGGAAGAAGCCTTCGTTAAAGATTGAGGAAAGCTTTTCCATTTAAGTAAAGAGATGAAATTCTGTATTCCTGGTAATTGGAAGTGAAAAGGTAGGGAAAAATCACCTTTATGCATAGAAAGCAGCTTTGCCTTGCTCCTTGGCAGTGCTTGCTGTCAGCAGTTAGAAAGCAGAGCTGCCAGGCACGCTTCAGGGATAGGCAGGAGGTAATGAATTGTGGTGGGGAAGGACGAAGCTCATTTCAGAGAAAAGGCTGATCAGTCACCCCGTGGGTCCCGAAAGAAAGGGAGTCCATAGCTGTGATTTAGCCTTATGTTAGTTGTTATCAACTGTCTGTTTGGCACTATCATATCTTTCTCTTCTTTAACTATTTCACCGTATTGATTTTCAGGAACATCTTTAATTCAGGACATGAAGGCTTACCTGGAAGGAGCTGGGACTGAGTTCTGTGATATCATCCTTCTCTTGGACGGGCACCCACGGCCAGCCCACAAAGCCATCCTAGCAGCCCGCTCCAGGTGAGGGTCGTTGCCCTAAGGGTGCAACTTGTGTGGGTTGTTTTCTGTAGGAGTCAGGGAGGAATTTTGTATGTGCACAAAACACCGTTTTGCTCAAGAAGTGCTATAAACATCAGTGATTAAATATTTTTCAATTCAATACCCAGCAGGGAAAGACAGGAGGAAATTAAAACTGTAGAGATTCTCCAGACCATATTTGAGAAGCTGCATCTCCAGACAAAGAATCAGTTAAATCGCAAGGAGGTAAAGAGGGTGTAAAGTATAAGACTTTTTTCAAGGAAATGGGAAGCAACAGATGTCCCCTGAGGTCAGGAAGAATCCTCTGATGGTGAACACCCATTTTAGGTTATGTGAAACTTATGTGTCTATCACCAGATAAAGTCTAAGACTAGGTATGAGGAAGCATGGAAAGAAATGGTGCATGACAGAGACTAGATTATTCGCATACTTTGTCACAGAGGCGAGTAGTTCACTCTGTTAAAGATGATTATTATTCTCCCCACTCAGCACATGGATGAAGTGGGTTTGTCCCTCTCTTGCACGGAGAACATTGCATATATGCATGTCTTTCCATGCTGCAGGAGATTAAGCATTCACATAGAATTTCCACTTCAAATAGCATCAGAAATTTTTATTTTGTCCCAGTAATAATATTCAGTATTAGTTACCTGAGTATTTTCCCAGAAGCATCTCACGACTTTAAAACGAGGCTACATGACTAGCAGTCGCAGCCTGCAGATATCAAGGAAACTCACAGTGATTTAAGCTGTCTAGTAGGTCTTATGCAAATTAGACAAAAATCAGAGCACTGTGTGTCCTAATTTTCAAGAAATGGAGACAAATTCCAGGTTGTGTTGTTGGAAATGATGGGGATTATGTTTGGAGTTTGCTCACAGGCAGACCTATATGAAGCATAACAATTTACCAATATTTTACCCCAGGTTGTCAGCTGAAATTACTTATTTGGAAGCTGCAGTGCTTAACAGCTGCCTTAATAGTTTTGGGTTAAACCATCTGTCTGCAGAATGTGACACACAGAGCTTGCATATTACATTAATTTTTATTTCCTTTTCCAGTTACTTTGAAGCCATGTTCCGTTCCTTCATGCCAGAAGATGGGCAAGTAAATATATCCATAGGCGAAATGGTTCCCAGCAAGCAAGCGTTTGAGTCTATGCTTAGATATATCTATTACGGAGAAGTCAACATGCCTCCTGAGGATTCCCTGTATCCTTTAATGGAAAATACTTGAAGAAGCTGTTTCAAGTGCTTACCCAGCACCTCGACTTCCTTTTGCTCTAGATAGTCAGGCACAACCGAGGAGGGTAATTTGTCAATGTTGCACTAATATGTATCACATTTTTAATTTCTGCCGTTGTGCTGTGTTTAGGATCAGTTACTGTTACCTTTACTTTGCTTTTTTTTCTTTTCCTTAATGGGATTAACAGCTACCTCTTCGCTGCACCTTACTATTATGGTTTCTCCAACAACAGACTGCAAGCCTATTGTAAGCAGAATCTAGAAATGAATGTCACGGTGGAAAATGTACTCCAGGTAATTGTCCCCCTGTAGCTTTAATTAGTCACTTGTGTTAAATATGAGAAAGCTAAAGGGCCAAGCCAAATAGGCCTGGAGTTTATTCCTTTTTTTTTTTTTTGACACAGTTTTTTGACTTAAAGCTGAAGAGTGTAAATACATGTAGCTTTTAAGGTAAAGACAGTATACTTTTTTTTAGGGAGGTCTTTGGAATTAGGACCACATTTGTACGGGAGAGCATGAAAAATGTATTAATATTGGAATACATTGTAAATCCATAGAGCCTCTCCTCTCCTCTTCCTAAATTATGCCTTCCTGCTGCCTGTCCTACCAAAGTGACATCCAGGGAGGTGATGCAAACCTGCTGGTGGTAGCCCTGTGTGGGTCATGGATATGCAGGAATTCAGCCTTTGGCAGACGTGTTCCACATGTTCTCAGTGGTCATTAGAGTACTATGTGCTGTTTGTCTGAGCAACATGAGAGGCAAATCACATCTTGGTTTGTTTTCGCCGTAGATTTTGGAGGCAGCTGACAAGACCCAGGCCCTGGACATGAAGAGGCACTGCCTGCACATCATCGTTCACCAGTTCACCAAGGTTGGTTGCATCTTTTCTGGGGCTCTTGAGACCTGCTGTCCTCTGTCACTACGGTGGTTAAAGACACCTTGATGTTAGAATCTGTTCCTTTCCTCTGGTGAGACAGCTGAAGCCAGCTGGGTGTCACTGACACGCGGTGACAAATCTGCTGGGCATACACTTCCTGCTAAAAAATAAATAATGGAGCAGAATGGCCTGATTTGGAGATCTGAAGGCCTTCCAAAACAGAAGTTATCTAGATTTACTTCCATTTCCAGTTCTTTCTCAGCTCTCCTTTTGTGCCGTGCCATCCTTGGGATCTCATGTGTACGACGGGATCGGTTTGCCGTGTATCCAGTGCACAAATCTCCCTCTCTCTAGCATTTACAATTGTGCTGTTCACATTTCTGATGAAGCACCCTCCCTGCTGCACAGATTATATTGTCATGTGCTCGTAAGGCAGATTACCATTCTGGGCTTTCTGTTGTTTCCATAGTCATAGAAAGGTCAAAAGCCCCATGTGCTGATATTCCTGTCCTCACTCTAGAGAATATGGGTATTGTCATTTAGTTGTGTCATGCGAGATATGATCCCTCCATGAGCGTTTCCCAGCTTGTCATCAGTTCATTGCAGAACTATTAGTGTTTGTTAAATTGCTAGATAAATCACAGAGTCTGGGAATTGGGATTTCTGAATGCTACAGATGTATTGATAATAATTCCCTGGTTAGCAGTTGAGAAGCTTGTCGTCATCTGTATATTTAATCTCCCAGTCCTCCCACTTTGACCCATACGGGAGGATTAGAGCACCTTAGGTCCAGTTTGTACTGAGAGATAAGATAGAGGCAGGTATTCAGGCTCTTTATTAAATGATGAGCTTGCCCAAGGGTAATGCATTTTACATTCAGAAAACACTTTAAAAATGCAGAAAAAAAAAAGAGAGCAGAGGCAACATTCAGAACCCAGTGGAGGGTCCTCAGCACTAGCTCACAGCCCCCGACTTTGTCTTTCTTGTTTCTTCTGGCCCTGTGGATCCTGTGGAGCTGCCCGGCTTCAGCACTAGCTGGAGACCGGTCCTGCTGCAGGTTGCAGAGCAGCCTGGTCCCCAGGACATGTCCCTGTATTCCCAGATTGCTGCAGTGTGATGGCCTCGACTTCCCACTGGAGGCATCAGGGCAACATGCAGCTTCAAAGGATTCTCAGCAAAATGTTTGTCCGTACGGGGAATGAGCATTGCGTCACTTCAGGGGGGAAAAAAAGATTTGGATGGAGAGTGTTACTCAGTTGCGCTCGTTTTTACTAACCAAGCTGCACAGAAACTTCTTGTATTTGAAATTGTTCACTGTTGGAAGAGCTTTTGCCAAAATGTGGCTAGGAGAGTGTTGAGCAGATGTGCAAGAAATGTTAATTCCACAGCATTTGAGGTTGTTCCGGGAGGCTTTGGTGCGGGATTCTTCCCGTTGCGGGCGGGAGCGCTTGCTGCTGCGCTGCCCCGCGTGCCCCAGGCTCTGCACGTCGCTGCGTCCTGGCCGTGCAAGCCCTGCAGGCCAGCAGGGTTCAGGCAGGCTGGATAATACGGCCGTTGTGGTCTCCTGGTTGATTTTTTTCCACTCGGTTAATGCTGTCCTCTGTTCAGAAAAATAAAGTTTTCCTGCAGAAAGACCATTTAAAGAGCTGTTCGAAGAGGTTCAGGAGTTTGGCACTGTGTATCGAGGCCCCTGTGTGTCTGTGTTGTGCAAATGCCCTAATAAAACATCTCTGCTTAAGTGTTTGCTTGTATTCTGCCACCAGCCCCTGTCGTTGCCCGTGGTGCTGTGCTGGTCCTGCGTGTGTGAGCTGCGAGTGCCGGTGCAGGATTCCCAACAGCTTTAAGGGGCTCTTAGGATCCTCATCCAGTCCTTGCAGCCCCTGATTTGGGACATTTCAAGCATTAATCCTGAGGTTTTTTGGAAAACAGCCTTAGCAGTTTCCTTCCTGGGCTTCAAAAGATGCTCAGAATAGTCCAGCTTCTTTGAGTGATGACACCTTATCTTACATCAGTTGATACAGGCTGGAAAAGTGGAGAAGCTTTTAGGTAGATCCTTCTTCAAGCCTTCACGTATATGTTAAGCACAGACAACAAATCTAGGAGCAGGAGGAATGCTATTGTTGCTACAATGCCGGCTACCATAAAGGTGGGGAGAAGGAAGGAAGGTACAGAACATCCTTCAGATTAGCTTTTAGGTAGATCCTTCTTCAAGCCGTCACATATATATTAAGCACAGACAATAAATCTAGGAGGAGGAGGAATGTTATTGCTACAATGCCGGTTACCATAAAGGTGGGGAGAAGGAAGGTACAGAACATCTTTCCGATCGGACCAGCCTAAGAGTGTGAATTTTATTGGAGATTCTCATATATCTGAAGTGTTGGCTAAAGCTCCAGGGAGCTGCTTTGGCTGTGGCAAGCGTATGGGCAAAGCTGCTGCTGCCACTAAACCTGTTGAAGGTACCACGTCTCCTCAGAGCCCCTGGAGCAAGGCGGGCAGCTCCTACATGTCCCATCCAGAAGATCTGAGCATCAGGAGAATGCTCAGACTTCGGTGTCAGGGCTGTTGTGGTGCTTTCAGGACAGCCCCAAGCTTGCATGCATTAACAATAGAATTACTGTTATAAAAAGCAGTTGTTCTTTTCATAGAGAGTCAGTGCTGGGGTCTCCTCTGTCTCCATTCCCATCCTGCCCCCGTGGCAGTGAGAGATCGGCCCTTCCCTGCGGCCCTGCTCGGCCTCGGGCTTGTCCGTGTCACACATGGGGGACTGGGTAAAACCGGCGACACAGAAACCACGGTTTGGGGAGGGTTTTAATTTCCTTGTGTTCTGTTTTGTTTTTCTTTCCCCTGAAGGTCTCCAAGTTGCCAAATCTCCGCTCCCTGAGTCAGCCGCTCCTCCTTGACATCATAGAATCGTTAGCTAATCACATATCAGACAAGCAGTGCGCGGAGCTGGGCTCAGACATATGACGTGCTTGGGTAATCCAAATATTTCCTTTATTCCTCAAAAAAAAAAGCTAGCACTTTGCAGTTCACCCTCTATATTTACTGTTCCGCGCTGAGGCGCTCAGAGAGCCAACACGGCCGGGAGGAGCTGGAGAGCGGCCGCGGGCACCGCGGTGCCGCGCGGTTTGTGCCGCTGCGGAGCAGGGCTCGGTCTCTGCTGGGCAGATGCTGAAGTCGAGACCGTGAAGGGAATGAATCTGTGCCACGTGGTTTGGGGGTTTAACTAAGTGCAAAATCAAGCCCATAATTACTTCTGTCCAGTAAAGTAGAACGCTTGTGAGTTGTTAATGTTTTGAAATGATATTTAAATTATGCTATTTAAAGAAACTTGAGCTGCAACAGCCAGGGGCTGTAAGTGGATTTTAGATGCAACCAAGCAGGATGTAGAGGGCGTGGGGTTAGCGGTGAGGCCGACTGATGCACCAGAACACAGGGCTTGTCAGAGACTCCCATGGTGGGATTAACAGATAAACCCTTTTGCAGCTGCCTGCATTGGTGGAGCAGGTCCACCATGTCCAGACCTCTGCAGCAGGTCAAGCTAGAAGATGGCAGAGGTCCTCTCTGAGTCTAAAATCTATTAATCCTGTCTCATTAAGCCTTTTTTAATCAATGTATGAATAAACTGTTAACATCTCCTTGCATTCCATGGTTGATTTGACCTTAATTTTGAAAGAATTGAGCTAAAGGAAGACCTCCGACCTTGATTAAGGTTACAACGTTAAAAATAAATCTCTGTGCTACATCTTGTCACTCGTTTTGCACTAAAGTGTCTCTGTTGGTCGTTACAGGAATGGGGGAGGAGGCAGTTTTCCCTCCCTGCTGCCTTCTGCAACTTGCAGGGCAGCTCAGGACCTTGGCTGGTGCTGCTGGGTCCCCAGGAGCCCAGCGCAGAGCTGCTCCCCTGCCGCTGAGATCCCCCGCAGAGCCCCGAGGAGGGAGGCAGCGACAGGGATGCTGAGAACCAAAATCTCCGCCAACTTGCTGTGGTCCTGAGCTCATGTGAGGTGACCCCGCGCCAGCCCGTCCTCTCCCATCCAGCAGGACGGGAGCAGAGGCAGAGCAGCAGGTGAAACCCTGGCAGCTGCTCCAGCGCTAGCTGCTGTCCAGTGCAAGAGCTTTGCTGTGGGCGGTTTCTGTTCCTTTTCTTGCTGCCTGAGGAGTGCACGTGAAGGACAAGGCAGCCCAGAGCTTGTGCTCCCATCTGGCTTCCTGCAATAACAGTCGGGCTGTGCCAGGGCGGTTGCAGAGCCCTCCCAGGCAGAATCACAGCCCGTGTTGCTGCTCTTGCAGCTGGGATTTTTATTTTGGGCCAGGAGGTTTTTGCTGGTGCCGTACCAGATGTGAGCTCCGTTCTGCAGCCTCTAGCGGTACCGCTGCACCTACGTGGTGGCCAAGAGGGACGTTACAGTCTCTCCATGCAGTGGAGAACATCGTTTTGTGCAACCCGAAGGAAATACTGCAGGGACCTCTCAATCTGCCTCCCTGCCAGGTGAGTCACAGCAGAGGTGGCAATTGCACCTCAGAGCCCAGGACTCATCTTAACGTGGGATTGTTCCCACCTGCGTCACAGCTGATGAAGCCGCTTGTCAGGGTGAATTAAGAATACAGACAATATCCCTGTTCCTTGGGAAACCAGAAGAGCTGCAGATGAGGAAAGGCTTTATGCTACAACTGACAATAACGCTAAGTTACTTTCAGCAATGCCAAATCCTCTGGAGGACACCCATTTCCCGAGCATGCCAAGGCTGGTGCCAGCACTAAGGACCAGCTCATTGCAGTTATGCCAGGCACAAACCCTTTGACTCTGTTTTTCTCAGTTCAGCTGGGGAGAGAGGGTTGGAGCTTATTCCTGAGCTCCTCAGCAGTGAAAGGTGCAGACTCAGCACTCCCTGCACAGGGGCACTGTAGGCATCTTTGTTTTGGAGAGGCTTTTTTGGCTTTGTCCAAGTAAATGCCCTAGTGACCTCAAGTGCTCAGTCAGCCTCGTATTGCATCAGGAGGCTTTATTGTATGAAAAAAAAAATGCGGTCAATGGAGCCGTTAGCTTGTCAGGCTGATTTGCCTCTGGGCTGCTCTTATGCAGGGAGACAGGAAGGAAAAAAAAGAAAAAAAAAAAGAAAAAACCCTTCAGCAAGAGGAGCTGATGTGCGTTCAAGGCTGATGCTGACCCCGTCCTGCCCGAGCCGGGGCCCTCCTGCATTCGGATGTGCAGCAGGATCTGCAGCAGGGAGCACTGCGGGTCAGCCCTGCTGGTGCTGGGCTGATTTGTGTCACTTTTCCAAGGAGAAGGAGGTAGGGGAAGTTTAACGTGCTCCTGTTACACGTGGTAGAGCATTCGGGTCTAGGTGTGTGCTCTGGTTGCTATATTTTGATATGGAAAAATATTAGCCGTACTGTCTAGCCTTGTCCTCACCCTAAACATGGGCTAACTCCAGTCTCCTCCACCTGTAGGCCATCCTGTTTAAACCCTGCAAATGGTGTTTGGCGGGTAACAGCCGCTCAGTTCTGGGATTTCTCGTCTCAGCAAATAGCTGGTCCTGGTTAAGCACAGGCATCATTATAAAAGTGGCAGTTTGGGTTGATTGCTCTTCTGGTTGCATAGGCGGCTGTTTGAGCATTGGCTGTGCCTGCTCATGGCTGTGCAGAGCTACTTTCCTGGTTAAATGCTTCTCTCTGAAAGCACATTAGCTTGGGCACAGATAGACACCTGCACCTCCTTTTCTCTGTTTATTTTGCCCTCTGGTGCAGGCACACGCTGTGCATTAGGTCTGTGTTTAAGAGCTGGTTTCAATCCATAACTGGGCTGCTGGGGCCCCCAGGGCTGTGCTAGGGTGAGGGTGGCAGTTAATTTACAGCCACACGACTTGCTCCAGGCCTGAGGAGCAGAGGGAGCCTCCAGGAGGTTGCTGGGGACCTTGGTCCCAGATCCCCTCTAGGACAGGGGGCTGCCCTTCTCGGTGAAGATGCACACGAAGCCCCAGAACCAGGAAAAGCACTAAGAGAAAGGCTACAAATTACAAACTTTAATAAGGGAATTTGTGCAATGATTTTGGAGGTTCTGCCACAGGAGAGCTCCACAGCACAGCTCCAGTAGGGAAGAGCAGTGCCAAGGCTGCAGCATTCACTAATTCTCTGCCACCTCCAAACCCAGGATCTTCTTGACGTAATTCTGGACGTTGACATGGAGCTGGGGGGCTGTAGCCGAGAAGGTCTCCATGGCCAGGGCCCGGGCTGTCTCTGACCCGCTCCACATGGCGCGGTAGACGTGCAGGGTGTACTTCTGCTTCCCCTGCGAGACACGGCGCGCATCAGGCCTCCTTCCTGGAGCGGGGTGATGCCGCTGGACCCCAGCACCGCCCCGTCGCAGCTACCCCCGTCGCAGC